AACCAGAGTCAACGTTTGACGATTCGAAACCCTAAGGGTCAACGCCGGTCAACGCGTAACCCTAGGTCAACGCCAGTCAACGCGTTGCGACCAAAGTCAACGTTTGACGATTTGAAACCCTAAGGGTCAACGCCGGTCAACGCGTAACCCCAGGTCAACGCCAGTCAACGCGTTGCGACCAAAGTCAACGTTCGACGATTCGAAACCCTAAGGGTCAATGCCGGTCAACACGTAACCCTAGGTCAACGCCAGTCAACGCGTTGCGACCAAAGTCAACGTTTGACGATTCGAAACCCTAAGGGTCAACGCCGGTCAACACGTAACCCTAGGTCAACGCCATCAACGCGTTGCGACAAAAAGTCAACACGCGGTGGTCCGAAACCCTAAGCCAGCACAATGTGACGGAGGTAGTTCAAAGTCAACTCAATGACACGAGCCAAACTCAATTCATCAGCTGCAGACTCGAGACTCCGACGACGGCCAAGCGATAAACGCAGCGCCGGAAGAACTTCGGCTATTCGTCAAAGCATCGAATAGACCGAAAATCGAAGGAGCCAAGAGTTGAAGCTAACTACAGGTCCTTACGCCGACTGAAGGCTAGACCAATCACATCCAAAGTATTCCAGCCTCTTCTATAAAAGAAACGAGTCTGGAACGCTTTGGAGGGGGTATCTGTAGGCATCGAAAATTGCCTATAGGTCTCCACGAACGGTTCAGTGTTAAAGAGCGACGATGAACATCACTATCCGATCCACAGGAGTCCAATTGACGTCGATGAACGATTGAAGTGAATCGACGAACTACGTGAGCTGATAGGATTTCGGAACAACGAAGATCCGGACCAATCGGGAACCCGGCGATGTTCACAAAAAGGACAATGCCCTTCATGTCTCGATCACTCTACTGATAATCCAACCACTGGAGCGGATCGAACTCTTCGTCAAGCTTCCAACGCACTTGGAATCACTCAAATCCGAGTTCGGACGAAGAATTTATGACGAAAACAATCAAACATACGCAACGGAGCGTCTCAGGCTGAGTTGGGACACCCGGGGTGTCTCGGGAAAGTCGAAACACCCCAGGGGTGTCTAGGAAAAGCCTAGACACCCCAGGGGTGTCTCGGCCAAGCCTAGACACCCCAGGGGTGTCTCGGCCAAGCCGAGACACCCAGGGGTGTCTAGGCTTTTCCTAGACACCCCGAGACACCCTAGGGGTGTCTCGGATTTTCTGAGACACCCCAGGGGTGTCTAGGCTTTTCCTAGACACCCCAGGGGTGTCTAGGCACCCTAGGTGCCCCCATTGCCTATAAATAGCAACCTTAGGCCTCATTTTTGAGAGATCTGGATTTTTGGAGAAGTTGGCGAAGCCCTGCTGCAGTGAAGAGTGGTCGAGCGCTTCAACAGAGGAGAGGTCTTCATCAGATTCTTCATCACCCGTGCCCGTTCCTTAGTATTACCCTTCGCCGGTAATCCTAAGAAGAGCAGATATCTCGTTTTAGCTGAGATAGACGCTTCAGGCTTCTAGATCTCTCGCGGATCGACGAAGCTCTGTCCGATTTTTCCGGAACAGATCTAAGTGTCAGGTAGTCCACGGATATCAACGTCCCCGTCACAGGCCAAAGACCCACGCAAGCAAGAGCCGATAAACGGATCTTGCGTTTATTTTCAAGAAAGTTGTAATTTTTATTTCTTTGTTATTTGAATTCATTTGTAACGACTAAAGTTTAATGAAATCAATGATAAAGGCAACTTTCGACGAAAACAACAAGATCATGGGGCAAGCCTGGAAGATACATCAACAGTCTTATCCGATCACATGAATACGGACTTTCCCATCCCAACTCTTCACGTTTTGCTAAGTCAACAACACACAAGTCTCTATGTCTTATTCATGTCACACAGGTCACTATAGTCATAAACTCCTAACGATTCTTAATCACAACAAGAAACAATCAATGTAACTAATCATGTACAATAATATCATATCATATCAGATAATCAAGATTAAGAATTTGAATCATAAAATTGTTCTAAAATAATCTTCTGAAATAATAATTTATTGACTTCAAAATAATTCTTTTTTTTTCTAAAATAAATTCTTTTCTCATTATAATAATTCTAAAAATAACCTTTTAAATAATAAAATTCATAAATTCAAAAACAAGATAAATTCTCATTAATTCAAAATATTCTATTTTCCCAAATAATTTCTTTTTAAAAAATATTTATCATTCTAAAATGATTTCTTCTACAAGATAATTTCTAAAAATTATTATAATTACTCTAAAATAATTCTTTTTTTTTCAAGATAATTCCTTTTAAATTATTATAATTTTCCTAAAATGGTTTCATTCTTAAATAAATTCTTTTTAATTGATATAATTATCCAAAAATAATTCTGCTACCGAAATAAATTCTTTTAATTCATTATAATTATTCTAAAAATGCTATTTATCATAATATTATGATTTACTTAATATTATTCACCAAACAATTCCACGCAGATAACTATATCACAAACTAAAATATGCAAAAATTCATAACTTCATCAACAAGCCCACACAGATAATTATATCAGTCTAAAAATACTTGATAAAATACAAGATGAGCAAGGGATCTTGCCTCAGGGTTTCGTTGGGATGTCTCGGCTCTGACGGGCTCGTTAACGGCTAGAATGTGGCGGTTCTTCAGCTGGATATGCGTTGGCATTTCGTCGAACACGTGGTGTGCGATGGAGGCGTTGGTTAGTGGCGAGCTCGAGTCTGGTGGCTCGACATTCTCTTGGAGAGAGAGATGAGATTTGAACTGCAAATCGAGGTGGAGGAGGCTGAGGGTTGAGCGGGCTGTCGGCAACAAGCAAGGAAGGCGGAGGGGAGGAGCTCGGCGCAGTCGAAGTGGAGAGAGGGCGGGAGAGAGCTGGGGGCGGGTCTCGGCGCAGTCGAAGTGGAGAGAGGGCGGCGAACTGGTGGTCGGCGGCGTGCGGGGCGTCG